GGTGCAGACGGTGGATATTGTAGTGTGGCGCAAAGCTGGTGGGGAGTGGTGTGACCACTGACATGGTGGCAGGTGGGCACCTGGACTGGAGAGTCAGAGTCTGAGTTGTTTGGAGTCGTCGGATTTGGTTAGAGTCAGGGTCGACAAAATCGTACCAAATGCCGAAATTTGGAGGCATAGTCGGCATTTTTTTTTTGCATTGAAATCATGCTCTTTGCTTCCTAGTCAAACTAATATTAGCCGGTGTACGGCCAGTCGTGTTATACGGCGCACGTTGATGACGATTTAAAAAATAGCATCTCCCTGAAGATGGGCCGGATCAGAGCTAGATACTGAAGGCCATCGTCGTCGATGAGGGGTCAGATTAATGTGAGCCCACAATGAGAATTGAGGCCTCCTGGGCCCTCTCAGACTGAGCTGAGATGCTCTCACACCAGTTGAGTGCCAGCAGCGTGTAATGGAACGCCTTCGTGCATCGTGATACATAACTGATTCCGCTGTTCGACTCCGCCATGTCCAGACCTCGTGCAACAGATGGCGGTAAGACCAAACGTCTTCGTGACATCCAAACTCCAAAGCCCTTCATTTGGGATCTGTTCAACACCTGTCACGGACTGCCTTTCTAGAGACCTAAGTGGGAGCCTCTCGCTGGGTTCAAAGCCGGTGTAAGACGGACTCCGCTACTCCCGGACCCGCTTTCCTCGGACGCTATGTCTGGCCTCTCCCGCTCTCCCCTGGCGCTTTGTCTGGCCATTCGCGTCTGTCCCGGCTCCCCTCCCCCTCCACGTCCGTCGCGGAGGGGCGGGGCGGTGTTCACACCTGGCGACCAGCTGCGGTCAGCTGACGAGCCGCCGATGTCCGCCGGCCGACCGTCCAGCGGCGGCCACCGGGACGCACCGGCCAACTCCGCAGCGCCGAGCGGCCCAACGCTCTGCTCTCCCGGCCCGCGTGACTGGGGAGTATGGCCGGCGTGACTGCATCCGGAGTCCCGCCCACAGGCGGCCGGTTCATGGAGTCGACTCGGTTATTTGCTGTTAATTTACAGTACTGTTTTTTGCATTTGTCTCGGTGGTTGTTTCCGTGAGTTCAGTTGAGGGGATGACCTGAGTGGCGTACTGACCGCTATGCACCACGCTTTCGTCGTTATATCGTGTTGCCGCCCCACTCACTGTACTGATAATCGTTCGTGACGGGGCATAAGTTGATGAATCATCTCGGTCCCCGTGTCGGCGACCGCCATTTCCGGCACGCTCCACCCCACCCTGTCCCGTCCGTCCCATCCATCCTTTGTGTCATTTCCTTCAATCCTTTCGCCCATCCTGTCTCATTCGCTCTCTTCTCTGCTTCGTTAGGTCTCATTAATCTTCTGTCCTTCCACTCGTTCGCGCCTCATTTACTGCTGTGTAGTCTCGGCTACTCTATAACTTTTCCATCCCTTGTATAAATGTATAGTCGCCTCCCTACCTACATCTCTCATCCCACCATGCTTTAATCTTTACATCTGTCCTCCATATCTCTGTCTCCAAAGAGGGACCAGTCCGTACTCCGTACGACGGCGTCCGATAAAACCCCGGGAGGAGCACGTAGCCGAGCCGGCCGGCGGGTGAAATCCTGGGAGCGCAGCGGTGATGATTGCTGCGGTGGCCTCCGTTCCGGTGGCGGCAGACAGACAGCGTGGCAGGCACCCTGTTAGACAGTGGATATTAGGTGGCAGACAGCAGACAGCCCCGTGGTGGCCGGTTGGGCAGTTGCTGTTAGATGGCATACATCTGAGTCCTGACAGTGCCGGCAAACATAAAGTGATGGCTGGACAGACAGTGCTGCAGCGGCCTACTTCCTGTCGAACAGCTGATATAAGACGGTATGCATTATCCAACGCTGGCGGACACATGGCGCTGAAGTGTCGGGCTCGGTATCATGTATTTCTGAATAACGCCTGGCTGGTGTTAAGCAGCATTCGGTAGATTTTGGTGATTGGTTCGGAGGCTAATTTTTTTTTTTCTGAAAGGATAGCTCGCATAAAGCACGATTATCTATTGTGCAATTATTGTGTTTGTGACCATGACTCGTGTCGACGAAGTCATTCGACTAACTTAACGGTGTCGTTTGCCGGGCCAATTTGTGTGCCTACAGTGGAAAAGCAGTTTCCGTCTCGCTGTTCCCACCGCGCTCGCGGCTTGCTGGTGAGGACCAGCGACCTGAGACCTGCGAGCCTCCCCCGGGCCGCACCTCTGACTCTGAACGGTGACATTGTGCCTACTCCACCCTCCTCACTCTCACTGCGGGCAGAGCCACGCCGGCATTGTCCGAGCGGTTGGTGTTCAAATCGGCGCGTCCAAACGCTTCGTGGCGCGCCCACTTTTCCACGTGTTTGCGCGCCATTCGAAGCTGACCTCGAAGGCGCGCCGCCTCAGTGCTCGGTTGGCCGGCCGTTACGGTGAACCGGCGGGGGTCGTGCCCGCCGCGCCCTGGCACAGCGCCGGAACAGACGGCGGTCGGTGCGCCTGTCTCAACTGTCCGCCCACCCACCTGCCTGCCAATCCGATGGCTCGATCGGTGTATCGGCCTTACAGACAGAATCTGGTCGCTCATCTTCAATAATGACGTGTTTGTTGCTAAAATTTAGCAATTATCTGCCTTTGCAGTGTTTGTGCTGTCTGTTCTCGATCTGATCAGCTCAGCTCTCCCTATCATTTTAGTAAAATGATTGGTCCTGCACTCCTGGTCGTCTTTCCCTCCTTTCACAGTCCGCCCTCTCCAGCCTGCCCTCACAGCTGCCTTCAGCCGTCAGCCTGCCACCCGCCTGCCGCTACCGGCCGATCTGGCACGCGTTAGGCATTCGTTGACCCCGCCGGGCGGTCGCCGTGGCCGGGCGTGCTCGGTCGTGCCGATCCGGCGCGCGCGGCGTGCACGCCCCACGCCGCTCCCTGCAGAGGGGCCGGAGAGAGGCACGGAGAGTGCCGAGGTGGCGTGTCCATAGGTGTGTGGTGATGGTGGGTTTTTAGGGGACTGGCGTGCGATCGTGTGGGCAGATGAGACTTGATGTTTTAGTGCGGTGGAGGTGGAGTGTGGGTTGATAATGCGTGGGGCGTTGTCACGGAGTTCAGGTGGGGTTTTCCCGCGATTGGAGGCGTGAATTTGATTATAAATGGTTTGTTTTATTTCCATTCATTGGTAGACTAAGCGTGCTATGAACCTTTCCCATACAATACGCGCCCCTGTCTCGTGAGAACTTTTCCTGAATGACTGATGGAATTACTGTCGGAATCGTATCGCTGGCCGTTCTGTCTCAGTGTCCAGGAACTCGATGTGGGAGTGTGGGCGCCGACCGCCGCCGTATCAGACCGCCCGGCCGGCTCTGTCCCAGTTTTTGGGCGTATGCGGGCAATCTCCAGCCTTGGAATATCGGTTATATTGAACGATTGAGTGTTGGTTGCTGGGACACTCACACTCGCAGCCGTTTTTATTAGGTTCCAACACCAAGACATTTCAGCCACTGCCGTCCTCGAACGCTGTGCAACGGTACCTATCTTGCAGATCTTTCACTGCATGGCTGCTGTGCCAGTCCTCTGACCAGAATATCGAATGGACTGGCCCCCGTGACCGGCTCCAGCGGTAACCCTGGGCGGCCGTCGATTTGGTATTCATTTATCGACAAGGGCTCGTTTTATTTCTAATGGAATGACCACAGAGCTACTGTGTCATAAAACCACAACATCTGGGTCAAGTGAACACACTCACGCAGCCATTTGTTAGAACTATCATCAGTTACTACTCTCTCATTATGAAGATTGGTGCAGCTACCTACTAGTTTGATTACTTCATGAGCTTCCTCTCTGTCTTGGACATTGTCAGTGTCTTTCCTCACGTCGAGGCACGCTGTACGACCTCCTCATGGAAGCAATGCGGTATGCGTGCTCTGTGAACAGGAATGCCGGTCGGGTCTGTCCGCATGTTTTACGGTGCGCTGCTGGATTACAAATCCGCGCACATGCCATTCCTTCCTAACGACTGCCAGTGCCGGTCGCAGCTCTTTGTTCTTGATCGGTCGGCTAGGCATTGTGATTAACTACTAATGGCTGCAGTTAGGATGGTTTTTGTATGACCTCGGTGCGGTATACCGCAAAGATATATCTTAATGTTGAAGATATTAACTTATTGAAAGATATATCTTTCAATTTTTAACCATCAATCATATAACTGGTTGGGTCTTCGCCACTTTCAACTCATCTATCTCCCATGTTCTGTTATCACTTATACTTTTTCCGTCACCTCTCTCAGTCCTATATTCATATTTTATTCTACATGTTGTGTGCCTTGTCCATTTCGGTTTTAATCATTTTCTTTCACCGCTTGTACCCGGCCCTTTTCTCCCGCCCCCATCCGCCCGTCCCTTGTCTCCCCCGACGCCTCCCGCGGCCCGCCCAGACATCACCCGGGGCGGACCGCTGTCCGTCCACTGCCGTTTCCGGCGCACGGGGCGGCGGTGAGCGTCGCCGGCCGCCGATCAGCATAGCTGGCACCCGCGCACCTCGCTCCAGCGGGCCCACTTCCGGTCTCGCTCGGCCCGCCGCCGTCACCGACCGGCCGCCCGGCGGCGCTTGGCGCTTGGCGTCCCTAGCTGGGCGGACATGTGACGGTTTGCGGTGAGACGCGCCGCCCCAGCAGTCTTTTCTCACCTTGCTGGGACCTGCTAGGCCGCGCTAGGCCGTGATGGGCCGTGCTGGGCTGTGCTGATCCTTCTGGTCGTCATCGACTGAGCCAGCCGTGCTTCGTCTCGGTCATGCTCGGCCGTGCTGGGTCGCACTCGGTCGTACTGTCCATGCTGGGCAGTGCTGGCTATCTTGGGTCGCATTCCGTGACTCCGCCGTACTCGGTGACATAATATACCGGGAAATGCGTCAGCACCAGGCAGACATGAGACTGGTGCTGCGTGGGTTAGCGCGTTGGAGCCGGCGGGTGGAGTGGTCACTGGTCAGTCGGGTTGTGAAGCCGCTACGTAGCGGGCGTGGGTGCAGTGGCGCGCGGCGTGCTCGAGTGGAGGTGTGTGGTCGCCGGTCTCCGTCTGGTTGGCTGTGGAGGCGGGAGATGGCTCGTTAATTGCTGTCGGTACCTACTCAGTGAGACGGTGAGTACCCGGTCTCCAAGGGAGCCAACAGCTAACTTGTGGAAGGTGCCATCACCGCACCGTGATGTCGGCTTTGTTGCGCCTTTGGAACTTTGATTTATTAGCAGGGGTCGATTCAGTAGTTTCATCGGTATTATCATTGGTTTGGTTTTATATTCGTTTTTCCGTATTTCGCGCTTTCCGGTGACGATTCCGATGTGAATGGTAGTTTAACAAACTTCAATGACGCTGGTTACCGTCTTCAACCTTGTGTACCGTGCAGTATCAGTGACCTCTGGCTAGGAGCCGTACCATTTGCACCACTGAGACGGCCCTTTGTCGCTCTATCCTGCTGGCCGGCGCGTCTGTTTCCTTCCCTGTTGGCGTCCGTGCCGGTCGGTTCCTGACCAAGTTTACCCCTGGCGAGCTGTGTCACAGGCCGGTCCGCCGTTTGTTGGTGATTAGAACGGCTGGTTTCCGGGGCAGTTTTTACCGGGTGATTGATTTGTGCTCTGAGTTTATACTTACTTCTGCTGTGAATAAGGAACTTCTGATGCTGGATGAATAGGTAATTGAAATCGAGACTTGTGTGCAAGCTATGGGACTAGCCTACGGAACTAAGCCGTGCTACTGTACTGTGGCTAAGTGTCATTTTCGTCACTGTAGCTTGACTTGCATCAACATAGATCGTATTGATGCAGCGCACGGAACCGTTGTTCTTTGCCCCACATTTCTTACATACTTCTCACATACGTGTTGGGAGCCGACAGGCGTAAAAATTATCACTTTTCCGATTTTGCAATCTCATTGTTTGATGATATCTACAGTGTAGTGCTTGCTTTACAAGCGAACTTTGCAACTTGGTCTCAGTCTCGCTACCGTTGCATGTTCCCACAAAGCTTGAGAAGCTTTCGAGGACAGCCTTTGTCAGAGAAGTTTAGTTAATCCCCGACTCAGGTCGGTTGCAGAGGTGTGTTCCACACTTTTCCTCTGATGGGGACGGGGGACATGTATCTATTTCCCTGCCACCTTGAGATGGACGGCGCAGAGAGCCTTCCCCTCCCTCTGTGGTTGTCATTTTAACACCTCCCCATCCGTCCCCAGATGGACGGGGCGGGGCCGGCGCTGGTGCGGCGCGGCTCCATGCGGAAGCTGCTGCCCAGCGTGCCGGACCAGCAGCAGCAGCTGGCCATGAGTAACCAGCTGATCGACAGCCGGACCAGCTCGCCGCGCGGCGCCCACTGCTACGGGCCGTTCTTCCTCGAGTATGCCCTGCTGGCCGAGTACAACCTGCTGCAGCGGCAGCGGCTGCCCGGCGTGTACACCGTGCCCGCCGCGCGGACGCCGCTGGGTGAGTATCGGGGCAGACGCGCCGGGAGGGGGTCGGGGGTCGGAAAGACGATGGGAGAAGTTGGGAGTCGATAAGGTGTTAAGGAAGGGGATGTAGAAGCGGTGTGGGAACTTTGGAAGAAAATCGAGCAAGAAATGCGCGTGAAAATGCAAGCTCGCCTAGTTCTCGACGAATTTTATCGTGAGGGGCATAGTTTAGCTAATATTGCCGTTAAATCAGTTAATCATGGTCAGCATGATCAGATAATGCTGAGTGTCTAGTATGATTCGAATTCAGTATTGAATCTGCTGAGTGTCAGGTGTGGCTCATTGTGTTCACTCAACCGAGTGACCAGGATGTTGATGTTGGGTCGTGATACGAAGCGGTACGACGTGGTTCGTGGTGGGGAGTGGTAGTGAAACTGTGCGTGCGATTGCTAAGCGTCATGCACTGTGCTCAGAGATTGCACTCAGTGTGCCCTCACTATCGGTCCTGTGACCTGCGGCAATGTCTTATCAGCAAGTGTACTGTACACCCAAAGATCTCCTTTGATACGACCATTCTTTGTCCTTTCAGTTGAGTACGACATTGTAACTATGCTGTAACACGCGTACTATTTCAAGCTTGTGCGGTCATGGTCGTGTTCTGTAACATATTTCCCGTCCTGTCGTTTCAGTGTGGTTCGGAGTGCTGTTCATACGGCAGGGCTACTACCAGGAGGGCGTGTTGTGACCGCTGTCCTGTTGTTTCAGTGTGGTTCGGAGTGCTGTTCATACGGCAGGACTACTACCAGGAGGGCGTGTTGTGACCACTGTCCTGTCGTTTCAGTGTGGTTCGGAGTGCTGTTCAAACGGCAGGACTACTACCAGGAGGGCGTGTTGTGACCGCTGTCCTGTCGTTTCAATGTGGTTCGGAGTGCTGTTCATACGGCAGGGCTACTACCAGGAGGGCGTGTTGTGACCACTGTCCTGTCGTTTCAGTGTGGTTCGGAGTTCTGTTCATACGGCAGGGCTACTGCCAGGAGGGCGTGTTGTGACCACTGTCCTGTCGTTTCAGTGTGGTTCGGAGTGCTGTTCAAACGGCAGGACTACTACCAGGAGGGCGTGTTGTGACCACTGTCCTGTTGTTTCAGTGTGGTTCGGAGTGCTGTTCATACGGCAGGGCTACTACCAGGAGGGCGTGTTGTGACCACTGTCCTGTTGTTTCAGTGTGGTTCGGAGTGCTGTTCATACGGCAGGGCTACTACCAGGAGGGCGTGTTGTGACCACTGTCCTGTCGTTTCAGTGTGGTTCGAAGTGCTGTTCATACGGCAGGGCTACTACCAGGAGGGCGTGTTGTGACCACTGTCCTGTCGTTTCAGTGTGGTTCGGAGTGCTGTTCATACGGCAGGGCTACTACCAGGAGGGCGTGTTCCGGTTCTCCGTCATCATCCCTGAGCAGTTTCCCGACGGAGACTGCCCGGTAAGAGAGGAGGGAGCGGAGAGAGAGGGAGGAATGGGGAGGGGAGACGATGGTGGTGGGGAAAGGAAGAGGGAAGGAATGGGATGGATATACTATAGCAAAGGGAAGTCAGAGCTGTTGCGGTACTCGTATCGCTCTCAAGTATTAGATAATCATCTAGCCGCCACTTTCCTTATCTCAGCTCGGTTAAGTGTCATTTCATTCATGTTAGCCTTTGGCTCGCTCACTTCAATTTGCCCGGATACTGCTTATCATTGTTAGCTTTCCGCCTTTGCACTGTATGAATCACGCCGTTATATTGCCAGTGACACTCGATACTCCGTTGTGCCGTCGTGAATGCGCTATTATTGTCGTCATCGTGCCCCTTCGGTAACAACTAGGTCACCGTGCGAACTATTAAAGCACACAACAACCGAGCATCTTGCCTTGGCTCGGCCTTGTCCATTGTTTTTCGTGGACGGTACATTATCCAAACATTGAGTGTATCACGACTGCATTGTCACGGCTCGGCCGTCACGGTTTACTAAGTATCATGACCGTGACAGCAGGCCACTGCGACGCCGGGTGTGCGAATTGCGAGGTTCATGGCCTGTTATCACTGATGCGCCAGAGAAGACCGAATTATCACAGTGGACTGAGTACCAAAAGTGATTGAATAAGTAGAGTAGACTGAGCAACTGGAAAAGACTGAGTAACCAGAGTACACTGAGATACCAAAGTAGAAAGTAGGCTGTGGATACCGGTGTACGGACTATGTTCTAACCTCCCCTCGCCCTCCGCCTGCAGCGAGTGGTAATGGAGACGCCCGTCTTCCACCCGCTCGTCCACCCGGAGACGGGTGAGGTGGACATCCGGCGCGGCTTCCACCGGTGGAAGCGCAACTCGCACCACATCTGGCACGTGCTGCTCTACCTGCGGAAGGCCTTCTACAAGATCGAGACGGTGCAGCCGTCCAACCCGGAGGCGGCCGTCATGTGAGTGATGCAGGATGCTAGTAGGGAGCGTCAGCTGCCGTAGATGAGAATAACAGTGCTGTGCTGTGCTATAACCCGTGCTCAGTTAAGCCCATAATCTGGATCGTTCAATGTCAATAAGTCTTGTGTTTTTTCCTATACTTCGTGTCGTATAAAGGATGTGTTACTCGTATATTAAATACATATGAAGTCCATTCGGTTCGGGGCTGGTTGAAAACTCCGGAACTGAATCAATTGTGGGATAGTGAAACATGACGCCATGGGCCCATGTTCATTGATGCTTCTTAGCGCCATTCAGAGTAACTTCATTTATTTAGGCAGCGAGACAGCCCGTTATTGGGCTTTCCACGCAAACGCTACGGACTCGAATTTCTGATCCTTCTTTTGTGCCTGTGCCCAGGTTTGAGAAGGCGCGTGACATGTTCGCGCTGCGAGCCGCCGAGTGTGTGAAGCTGAGCAGGGACCGGCTGATGGACCCGCCGGCCTCGGACGACCCGCACAGCATTGTGTTCAGCCAGTTCCGGCCCGAGGTGCACGAGCCCGTCCGACAGGCCATGCTCCAGCCCAAGGTACCGCAGGGGAAATGGATGGGATGGGGAACGGTGGATGAGGGTAAAGGACGGGTGACTAGGGGGCGTGAGAGGTGAGAGGGAGAAGGGAGAGAGCAAGTGGATGGTGTAGGCTGTGAGTCGTAAGGGAGAATAAGGTGACTGTGGAGCGTTGGTAGAGTGCCGAGTTGTCTCAACGAAATAGTCCCCCCGTTAGGTTGGATACTGGATACCAACTGCTTACACTTTTCTCTGTTTTATGGACATACGGGCGGACTGTTAATCGTGCTGGTCTCAATCACCATTGGTTGGTGCCTGGTGGAGTGTAAACTTCAGGACGGGATGTTTGGTGATTAGACCGACGTGTTTAGTTTAAGGCCGAATGTGTCTTCCGTTTCTGGTTCACTGGCTGGCATCCGCATCATGGCTCGGTGGTAGATATGACCTTATCTTTGTTCCATGTTCCTTATTTACAAGCTTTGTAATGGAGCTAAAATTGCTCCTTTTGTATGCGTCGTTAGCTGTGGAGTTGATATTTGAAATTACTCCTGGACCCATGGCATCTTCCGTGGAGTGGGTACCACATTAGTCACCATTGTTCTTTGGTTCGTGTTTTCTGTACCACATTAGTCACCATTGTTCTTTGGTTCGTAATTTCTCTTCTGACCGCTGACTGCTTGCCGCCTGGCCGCTGACTGCTGACCGTTTACATCCGACCTCTCACCTCTGACCGGTCCCATTTCCTTTCAGAAGGAGGAGGACCTACCCTCGGGACCGGCCAGCGTCGGCTACTCCTGGGTCCAGCCCGGCACACTGGACATCTTCTCCAAGCCCGAGTCGCTCTGAGGCCCGCCCGCCGCGCCGGACAGCCCGAGTGTGACGCTGAGTGACGTTACGGAGGGGTGATGTGACGGCGAGTGACGTGACGGACGGGCAGAGTGACGCCTAGTGATGTGACACTGAGTGACGTGACGTCAGCCGGGCCCTCGGACGGTGATTTGCTGTCGAACTAAAGCGCCCGAGAGACTGTGATTGTGTGTGTGATAAAGAGATCGCTTCTGGCGGAGAATTTTGCACAATATGGCAGCTGACTTCGGTTGCAGCAACAGACTTCAAACTGTGGAGATCACCATCTTCTAGACGCAGTAGCTCGCAGTGCAGTCTTCAGTGGACAGACACCCCGCGCAACTGACTTCCTATCAGTGGCGACGGTGATAAAGACATCTGCTACGCTGTGAGGCGGACGACCTTGCAGTAGCGACCCACTGACGAGCCGTCTGGCAGTACAGGGGACCGCGGCGACAAAATCAATGATATTCTGAGAACGAGAGCCGCGGGGCAGCGATATTGACCGTAGTTAGCCGTGTAGTGCTGGACCCGCCGAGACGGGTTCGACGTGCGATTGAAGAAGACTTAGTTTGGCAGCCGATTCAGAGTGGGTTTCGCTTGGATGTGTCGTTAGGAGTTGGAGCGTGATGCATGAAATACGCAGCACAGGTACATCCTAATAGAACTTTACCATTAATATTTAAACATTAACATGTATGTACCGATTGTATGTGATGCTATGCTACGTTTGTTCCTCCCTGATCATAATTGATATTCGTAACTGTGTGTTGCTGATCTATGAAGGCGGCTGCCGATATTGTATCCCGCTAGTGTGTCTTCCATGGTTGCGCGCATTCTCTCTATGAAATCCAATGTTACCCCGATTCCAGGGGCAAAGTGGCACTGACATGGATAATATGTCCCGCATAATGATGTGTGAATGATCCGTCTCGTCTGACGAATTCCTAACCCGTTTTAATGCCGACACTGACGTGCTTCCTGTGATTCTAGTAGCGGCGGAACCGAACCAGGCCTGGACGCAGCTTCTAATTAGAGCCTGGCGCCGCCGTGGTTATTTAATAAATGGCTAATGCATCGTCACGTGTGTATTTCGGATTATTTACATGATACTATTCAACATCTTATATAACGCTGCATATGGCTCGTCCAGCTATGAAGCACCATGTATATTGTATAACAATGTAAAACAATGTTAAATTACACTAATGAGTATCAGCTGGGACAAACCCATGCAGCGGCTGTCAGTGACTCGCTACAACGGATTCGTCGATCGACTTTTAACCCCTCCCGGTTCCGCAACGGTGGATTGCGACTCTCAAGAGCGTAACAGATCCTCACCTTGACGGCTTGACATTATGAGCACATCTGCTGTACCTGCGTCAAGGCACTCGCACAAAAACAACAGCAACAACTGGTCTAGAAATCACGTACTGCTTTGAGCATATCTGTCAGCAAGTATATACAAATGACCACAGTCGACGAAACAATATACATTATACAATGTGCAGCCATAACGCCGCACCTCCATTGCACAAAGATGACTGCACCCCTTACCGAATACCGCCACATGGTACCACCACTCCAATGCACCCCACCCTCCTGTCATGTCCTCAGCTCCCATCAGAGGCCGTCAGGTGTCGCTCGGGTGCGCGTCCATGTTACAGCGGCCCCTCATCTGCAACAGGGCCGGCACCAGCTCGTTGGTCAGCTTGTACGTCTCTCCCTCCCACTGGAAGTGTGTCGGCGGCATCGTCTCGCCCTTGTCGAAGCGGAAGCCGCGGCTGAACTCGATGGCCAGCGCCGATCGGACCAGACCGACGCCGCCGGCGCGTGCCGGCCCCGGGTGGTAGACCCGGCCCGTGCCCGGCAGCATACAGAGCAGGTGCGGGTCGAACGCTGTCGACAGCAGCGCACCCGCGTGGTTATACGACAGCTTGAAGTTCGACGACCCGTCGCTAGGCGCCAGCACATGTGTGAACACAATGGGCAGGTCGTTACAGCGAACAAAGTTGCGTTCGCGGCCGCACGGTGATATGAATGGGAACTCCGGGTACCGCTCCGTGTCGTTCATCCGCAGCTGGTTGAAGAAGAAGCGCAGGAATTTCTGCTCTGTAACGAGGGGCAGAACTCAGATTAACACAACACAGAGGAACAGATCGTGAATGGGATGGTGATTCCTGCCATTTCGCTCGTACCGGAATTAATGTGCGTGAGACGCTGACAAAAGATGTCTAAGACATAATAACGATTGTTGGAAATGTAAATGGATCAAGCGACTTCAAACAGCCGTCTTTATGAAAGGCGAATGTTAACAATATGGCGATGAAGGATTGTTATGCAAAGTTCGATTCCGAAACTCGCGCTATTTCATATTTGCATTTCAATTCTTACGAAACAAGTACAAACAGAATGAAGTTCAATGCACCCTGATTCAACAAGGAAATGGTGTGACTGCATAAATAGCAACCCACTCCCTACACACTGACCTTTGATACAAGAGGTGAAATTCTTCATCTTGGCGTCATCCAGGAACAGCTGGAAGGGACGCGGCTCCGGTTATCACCAGTCCGGCACCCACACGTCGATCAGACAATACTCGTATGAATACGTTACATTGTTGCACAAGAGTGAAATCACCAAACAATCCAGCAAACAACCGTGTAGTGTTTATTTATCCAACTACTCATTTCCAGTTTGCGGCCATGACAAGGAGTCATTGTACACAATAACTACATCACCGTTATCCCATTTTGAATACGACAGTGTTGCTGCAACCATCGTCACCTCAATGGCCCACCATCATCGAGTGACACCGTTCCCAACTCACCATTCCCTGATGATCGATATAGTAGAAGTACTCTCGGACATTGGGTGCCGGCGACTGACCCTGGACATACTCAGAGAACGGTCCCAGGTGGGCAGGGCCGCTCAGACAGCGGCGCACCAGGGCGCGGGTCGGCCGCAGGGGCGCCGACAGAGCCGGCAGCATCCCCATCCTGCGGAAATGGCGGGGGAGGGGCTTAGTGAGCGAAATCAGTTATAAATGCAGCTGCTTCTTCTTATGGCAGCATGCAATGTGACCATGAGAAAGCTGGCATATCTATGTGTAATGTGCGATGTGCATTATTCACCTTCACTGATTTGGGATTCCATACTCCTTTTGATGCCCAATCACAATGACTGATAAAAATGATGATAGCCTGTGCCACAAACAACCAGAAACCTAGAAATGTTCCAAACCTATTATTACATAGTGATCTAGAAAGTTCAGTATGATTTGAATCAACTAATTTTATAAGGACATCCTGTATCTAACCTCAGTTCTGCAGAAAACCCCAGCAATTAAAAAAAAAAATACTTCTTTCTTCATCTGAGATCAAAATGTATAAAAAACCTAATGTGCAAGCCCAATCATTAATCAGTATGTGGGCTCTCCTAAGGCCCTATGGCTTTCCATGGAGGTGCAGAGTGCAGACTAGGACACTTAAGAGTCAGTAGACTTTGTATGGAGTGCCTGAAATGCCAAGTGTGGGTGTGATATCAAGTGTGGTGAATCAAGAGCTATGTTAACTATAACACCATCTAAGATAACTGTGCATTAGGAACTCAGCAGGGACAGGCATAACCCTTTTTCTTTTTGGAGTCAAGAAAAAATAAGCCCCTATTATATTGCACACTACAAGTAGCTGGCAGTGCTGTCAACTGACAGTTGACACTAGTCTCCATGGAAATATCACCTAACTGCAAGGGCTAAGGAAAGGGACTAAGAGAGCATCCCAGCTTGATGCTTCTATGACATGGAAACTGGAAAGCCTTGTCAGTCTTAATTTGCCTTGGATGGACTGGTGCATTGCACCTTTTTCATCCTATGTCTGCAAACAGACTGATGCAAATCTGCCCTCCCAGCAGCCAGCTCAGTTGGGCAAACTAGACTTTTGGAATCAAAATATGGAGGCATCAATAATTTGATTCTGGTGGGAGGAGCCATGACCAAATATGGGCATGGAATCAATTTTTTGATTCATTTGGGTACACTTTTGACTTCAAATGTATCATTACGGTTGAAAAAAGGCCCATGACGGTGAGATTTTTCTTTAAAAAGGTAGAAAAATGTTGTAGGTTTCCAAAAAGTGTTACCTCAAAACTAAGAAATTGTCCCTTTGGCCTTGTGAATGGGAAAAAGACAAAGCCACTGTCCATCACGTAAAAGCTGTTTTGAGGAAATCACACTGTATGTTATTTTTGTATCATGAATCGCATACTAACCAATCAGTATTTGTGTAAAATGGCAAAATGAAATTTTAAAACCCCTAATTATCATTGTTGTAGTGCTTTTATATTTATTATATGGTTTTTACCTGTTGCTTCAGTTTTTGTATTTTTGACATTTAAAAATTGTGAATTGTTATCAAATGTAGTGAAGGTTAAGTACAACAATGCTATAGGTATCTGTTGTGGTGCTGAGGATACCACTAGATGAGAATAATAGCAAGATAAATGATGTATTCCTGCAAGTCATTGTTGCCTATCTCTTAACATTACCTGTGAATCAAAATAATGATTAGCCAGCTGATGGGGAATCAATATTATGATTATCTGTTTAAAGTGAATCAATTCCTTGATTGCCTTTCACTACCTATAGAATTCAAATTGTTATGATAGGAGCAATATTATTTTGCTTAGGAGATAGTTCCAGCATTTCTGTTCAAGATCAGGCATGCTCCTTCTTGAAACACTCCCTTATTTTTATGTGATTGGTAAGTTAAAAATAGTCTGCATTTATGCCCAAATATGGTCATAAGGAATCAATCTTTTGATGCCTCCATATTTTGATTCCAAAGGTCTAGTTTGCCCAACTGAGCTAGGCCCTGTTCCAAGGCACGACACTACAGCACAATACACGTATCAGGGTATTGGGTTTCCATTCCACTTTCCATAGAAGCATCAACAAGCTTGGACACTTACAACGCTGGTCGCTGAAGGGTCAAGGCAAATTTGTTTCAAATGCCGCACCAACAATGTAGCAAAGCATACCATAGCCATAGCTCACTGTAAAGTGTAACATCATGCTGTGAAACAGGGCCCGGTGTTAATGTAACTTGTCGCCTCTTTTCAGGTATATTGTCCTGTGTTTATACTTGTCATGTTTAAGACTCTCTTGCCATACTTTTCTGGCTGGTCCTGCCCAGGTCCTGCCTGCTGTGTGGAAATCAAAATTGTGGGAAATCGGTTTAGTCTGTTCAGTCATTTTCAAAATAAATCAACAACCATGAAATGCAACATTATTATGAAAACTTGAGCTTCAATGATACAGAGGCACGCAATAAACATACATTTGGCGGTGAAATGTAAAATAAATAGGAAAGTGTGAAGTGGTGTGAAGATAAAACGTAAACTCACACTTACGTAATCGAGCGCTTACCTGCGTTTGCCAATGCCACACACGTCACACAACACACAGCATGCGAAGATCGGTGCGGGATATTTTGTATCAACTGCGCTGTTATTGTGAACTCATTCAGCTGATCAGAGTTTTTCTTTTACCGACGGTACCTCAAACTAAATTTTTAGTATCGTCCTCAGAAATACTCAGTTGGTCACCAAAATGTCAATTGGCTATCTATTAACATCAAGCCTGCTGCCTGTAAGTATTACTGGGAAGTGGGAAAGCACTAGCATGCTGGCGAGCATATTTACGTCTGGACAACGAGTTGCGGGGAAAAGTGCTTATTGTGTTGCAGTTTTATGAGCCGGTGATTAGGCTGGATTTTTGGGTTACCTTTTCGTTCCGATTCATGTATTTCATAGTTTTTGGCTTTTGAATATTTTAGTTCTTTCATATAAATATTACTTGCCTTACAACTTTTGTAAAAACGTTTCATTTTTTATAAGCCGACGTTCAGAGTCCTAAAAATACATCAGCACTAAAATCATTGTAAACAAACAAATGGAGCACCACTTGGCTCTGTTCCAAGGCCATTTTTTAGTTTATCTGGTGGTTTTCTTGCTCTTGTACGTCGTTTTGTTGGATGTTTTGAATCCCTTAAGATTGACATATCATATTTAAGAAGCATGT